CAATAAACATGCTTATATCATTTGTTTTGTAAGTTTAAAACCTACTTCAAAAGGCTGATACACCTCTTGCAATAGTTTCAGAGATTAAATATGATTTAAACTGTAACTGTCTCTCACGAGTCACTTATTCTGACCTTGAAACATCTTCCAAGTGTTACAGTTTGTGTGCCTGTGACAGGAAGGGAGATGCTCTCCCACAGAGCATCCCACCGCTCGTGCGGACGGCACGGCCTGCTGCTCTGCAGCGGCTAATGCACTGACCTTGGAGCACCTCCAACGCTAGAGACGGTCGGTGACGTCCGCTGTTTCATGCCTTATCTTTTGGAGCATGTGGAATGAAGGGAAAGAAAGAAGGAAGGAAAGAAAGACAGACAGAATGAAGTGATATGGATGAGGTGTTGAGGAAAGGAGAAAGAAGAGAACCACACGCGTGTTAATAGTGTTAGTGTTTGAACAGGCAGAGTTGTTCTAAAATGTTCAAGGATTTAACAGTAATAAACTCACACACTCATTTAGAACCAGTTCTAGAGCACTTGGCACATTTATGTTGTGTTATTGGGCAGCGGGGCACAAACTAACGTGGGGTAAAATGTATCATGGATATTTTATGTATTTACACAGGTTCAAGTAGAATGTGCGTTTGGTCATCTTTAATGTGCGTTTGGTCATCTTTAATGTGCTTTTGGTCATCTTTAATGTGCTTTTGTTTATCTGAAGATTTTTAGAGCATTCGGACACATATTTCTAAGTTTTTATACCATAAAAAGAATTTTGTTCATTGTACCCGTTTTTAAAATAAAAGCTCTGCCTCGTTAAGTTACTAGTAATAAGACTTCAGTGAGTCCGTAACTCCGCATATAAATTCAAATTATATTGAAATTTAGATTTTTTTATGCACATATTCATAAAAAACCATATGTAATATAAATAAAATACATTTCAATTTTATCATGCTGATATTTCCACCTCTACATTGTTGTCAAAAATAAATTTGCTATGTTTGTAACCGCCTTGTTTCACTAATCTTTATATTTTGGTGTATCTACGTTGGAAAGCTTGTCTTGTTCAGACAACATAGAAACACATTAATTAATATACATTAATTGTGTTCGCGTCAATTTACCAGACTTTTTAGGGATAGTTATGACTGATACAACTAACAATTCTGATACAATTAGCAATAAATATAAGTTGTAACATTTATTGCTAATTGTATGCTAATTGTAACATTTAAGCTGAATTGCTCACAAGTGGTAAGTACTGGAAACAAATTTCAGATTTTCATTTTTAGCAGAGATGTGCAGTTTGCTTGTCTAAAAAATGATTAATCTTGATCATTTTTTTTAAAATTATTTACAAAATACAAGAACTAAAACACAGTGTTAGTGTTAGGTTGTGCCCTGCTCTCCTCTAGATATAATAACATCATCTCCTTGGATGTTTCATAGTAATAAAGTGCAATTTAAGGCTCTTTTCACAATCATCAAAACATCCTCCAAAGCATAATACAATGTTTAGATATTAGTCACTTCCAGTATTCTCCCTCCACACTTGGACATTACTTCCACACGCTCGTCCAGTTCTGTCTCAAAAAAAAGTGACGGCACGGTCACAGATACATACTGGCAGCGCCTTTCTAAAGCACCCAGCTGCAGAATCACCTTCATTACACAACAGGAGATTAGACCGCAGCTTTTCCTCTCGCAGTGGGAGACCACACTTTGATAACTTGATTAAGCGGTGACGCGCATCATACGGATTCACCACAGCATCCCAGACACCCCAGCGCTCATACTGTCAAATCAACAGCATAAATGAGCACATCAGTTCCTCACACTGAACACGAGCCTGATATAACTGCTTCTTCTAGAGTCAATATCATGGATAGGGTTGCCAGATTTCAGTCGTATAAAAATCGGACGGCCCTATGTCGTTTAATTTTGGCTATTTTTTTAGTGCATGGTTTAAAACTGTTCAATAAGTGTCTGGTTTATTTTGTACAGGCTAACTGATGCATGAGATACATATTTAACTGCTTTTTGAAACTAGCTGTGCTGTGCGTTACGGTTGCCAGGTGTGCCCTGCGATGGAATGACGACCTATCCTGCCTTTTGCCTGATAAATGGTGGGATAGGCTCCAGCACACTCCACAACTCAGACGGATAAGCGGCTTAGATGGATGGATGGATGGTTGCCAGGTGTTCAGTTTTAGACCAGACAGACTAGTTTCGATCTCCGTCGTCCGATTGGTACTCTTGACTGGACATTTGAACATCGAGACAAAAGTAACTGGACACTGAACAACAGAGCTTGAAACTGGTCCATCTGGTCTAAAGCCAGACACCTGCCAACCCTAATCCCAGCCAGGAATTAAGACTAGTCCAGGACTACAAATCACCGAAAGGAAAAGGCAGTCTAGGACTAGGCTTAATCCCTGCCTGGGAAACCTTCACAGTACCATCCAGAAAGACCACACCAGATGCCTTTTTATGGCTGGCTATTCAAAAGCACTTTATTTTTCTAGTTTGCAGCAAAATCTGGCAAATTGTACCAATTTATGGCATGAGTACAAGCTCAACATTCACCCACTCAGCTAATAACATTATCTAAAGTGGTAGCCATACCCATCAAATTCTTTCTACAGCAGCTAGGCCTGTGTCCCAGGGCTAAGAGTGCTCTGAAACCATCCAGCTAGGACTGCATGTCCATAGTGAATAATACGGCCTTCATAGCCATGTGCAGTGTAATTAGATTACCTGTACAATACGGAATATCTGTCATGTGACAAACCGCTACTCCAGCTTCATTAGCCTTATCGCTCCAGAGCAAATAGACTTAGTTTCTGCCAACATATGACACAGCCCTAGCATCTTAACGTCTGAATTTGTCTGTAATTTTGTCCATTTTTATAAATAACAGTATGTCATATAGTCAGAAACCACTACAGCAAGTCGGTTTGAGATTACGTAACTACTTGGCTTTGAGGCAAATGTGATTATTCAGATGCACAGTTAGAACAAAGCTAACTGATATATAAATAAACTTCTATAACTTACCAGCTACATTAGCCTAGTTTCAGTGCAAAATTAAGAAAGGCAAACTTCAAACACTAAACACGTTTGGGCTGATGGACTCCATGTGGGCTAAGCGGAGAACTGTGTGAGTTTTTATCAAAGCACTGCTTTTTTAAAAAAAAAAACCTTTGATGGGTAAAGCTAACAAGCATAACTAGCTTCCATTCTCTGCTAGCTCCATCAGTGCTTTTGGCCAAGCTACTCCTTAAACGTCAGCTGTGATTTGGTGACATTTCTGACATCCAAAATGGATCCAGCCATGTTATTTTTGTTTTTGAGCCACCTCTAGGGCTTTATTGTAGTTACCGAAAGCCTGTAATTTAGGCGGCTTTACACAAGGCTCTGGCATTTCAAATTGCATATCCCACATCACGTGCAAGGAATGAATCACTCGCAACAAAATTAGACCGTGTTATTGAGCGGCAGTGTTTACGTGTCAGGGTACGGAACTGCAGGACTACAAGAGTTGTGGCGGGTGCGGTTGCCAATCAAAAGTGGGCCACTGATGTTGGATTTAGACAAAAGGAGACCTCAACTATTTCCATCACAGATCGAGCTGGAAGCCTGCTGAGGCTTTTTTAATCTATATCTGAGTACAGTTGAAACCAAAATTATCGGTAGATGAAAAGCTAAGCTGGAACGCTACTTGGTTTTGCGAAATAAGGCCCATACAGTCTGAAGTATCCCAGATCAGGACAAAAAAAATTGTATAAAAAGACCCCATGTGAAGACCCTAAAGGACACGCACACTTAACTCTGGCCTGAAACTGCCTCTTTAAGACACTGTCTCTTAACAGACAGCATTAGTCTGCTAAAAACAACAGTTCCATCTGGAAGAGGTGAGGAGCAGCTCTCGCTGCCAAGTCCACGCTGTGCACCAACATCAACAAACCCAACCAAGAGACAGCGCAGATGTCAAAGCTGAGAGGGGTCAGTTTGGAATTTTATTCCAGGAGATGTTTTCTCCAGACCCTTTGCCAAACTGGGCATGGTGAGGGACAGTCAAGGCAGTCAGCTAAGGTTTGAAAGGAGAACACAGGACCATAAAAGGATGGACCTGGTGAGAAGACGAGACGGTCAGTTCGCACCTAAGGAACGTTAGCAACTGAAGCTGAAATGTTTCACCGCAGTGGTGCCCATTGTTCTTCTCCAGGGATTCCAGACAGCCAAGAAGTGGTTAATTGGTTTCTGCTGTGGACAAAACAGTGATTCAACTTGATAAACAAGACTTTCTCTCAGAGTTGTTTGGGTGTTGAAGAAGAAAGGTTTTGGTGACAGCACTGGACAGAGGCTTATTCCTGAAAGAGCCCTTACTGAATTAATGATCTAAAGCATTACCACAGCACACAGTTCATAACTAAGGAAAACAAGAAAACAAGGAATTTTAATCAGAAGTTAACAATGTTCAGTGCATTGAACTCCTCCAGGGATTTCAGCCATTGACTGCAATACCAACAAGTGGTTAAATGGTCAGTTCTGCAGAAGGAATTGATAAGCATGGCATGCCTTCAACTTGATAAACAAGACTTTCTCTCAGAGCTGTTTGCACACTCACGAAGAAAGGGTTTGGGTTTTGTTTGCCACGCCATGACACCACTAGACAGAGGCTTATTCCTGAAAGGGTCCCTTATTGAACTAATTAATCTAAGGCGCTATTATAGCCCACAGCGGTGCTCTTTTTACATAAACAAAGACTTGCTTAGTGCCTCATCATTTTACAGGGTTCTTTATTCCAGCTGAAAGAGTCTCTACTTCAATGCCCCATATACAGATGAGAACTAAAGATCATTTTTCATCTACAGTTATTACTCAAGTTCCAAACTAAGACTTTAAAGAGAAGAAACTGGCCTCGGAATAACCTCAAGACAACACGATCTTTTAAAGAAAAACAGCCTACTTTCATTTGAGCAACAGGAACCAACTTAC